TATATCAAAAATTAACAATTATTATACCAAAATATTTTCTTCTTTTTGCCCGATTGTACTGCGATTTCCGGCCTACCCCATATATTAAAAACTACAAATTAATTTATGATATTTTCTTATTCGAGCTCGCGGGGCTCTTTAGATGTGAAACCCGAGGCTATAGCCTCCCACCCTTTAATCCGTCCCTGGATACAATGCAAATGAGTACGCGATTTAAAATCACCTGTTCCAAACGACATAGTTAAGACAATGGTGCCCGATTGCCTTGAGTACAGCAGCTTTTAAAAGCTGAATATGCGACGTTCCTTTGTTCTCGTGAAATTTGGGTTACCCCCAATACGATTGTTTTGAAAGTTCCCCACCGAAGGATAGGAAAGTTGGGCCCGTTTAATATCGAGAAGGCCAACATCGATGGTCTATTTTCGCTCCGCTGCGAAGGACCAACTGTGCGACGTCTGGTTAAGAAAAGAACGACACGTGCCAATGCGGCAGGGGGTTACGAGCACTGAGCACGTGCTCCTTTATTTACAATTTACGCCAGACCGTTTTACCAACGCAGCTCGACTGTTTAATCCATGAATGCATCTCTAGTACTCCGCGATCCGTTCAATGACTCTTACTCCAGACTTCTCGTTCAGAGATCAGAAGGGCGGAAAAGATTTACCTTTGTATTTACTGCATGATTGATTCAGTCTCAAACTTGTATCGATTCTACGATAAAGTGTTCCAGTTGGAGAACATATCATGGGACCAGTTAATAAAAATTTTGAAATAGAAATGTTCCCAATTTCCGGCTTGTTCAAGACAAGCTCTCTTAATAGGAGAGTAAGATTTCCGGGAGTTTTTAATTGGAAACTCGCTCGGAGCGAGAAGAAATACATAGACACTGTGTACATAGATCGCAGCCCCTTTCAGAAGAGAGAGAACACTCTTTGCGACATTGTTTCTGACAGGGTGACTCTCAACCCCTTGCGCAGCGTAGCGACCGTAATCCACACCGACACGAACACCATCCCGGGACACATATTTACATACTCGAGGGATGATTTAGATGCGCTAAAAAAGCCGGCTGCCGAGCTTAAAGCCGATGCGTCACGAACGAGACGCCCCTCGTGCGTCGGAGCGAACGACCGCGCTGAATCGACGCGATTCGACAATTCGAAATCGTTCCCCAGGATGTTGTTATCTGATCTGTCTGCAGTTCCGCCTATTACGCTCCGACTGAAGCGAATTTTTCCAAATTTTTTAGTACAATCTTTTATTCCCGTTATGTTTTATTATTAAACTCCAAAGCAACAGAATTAATCGACAACTAAAAATTATACGAGTTCTGCGCAATTTTATACGAAATACTTGGTTCAAGTTCAGATAAGCATAGTGCTCCGTAATCGCTTTAGGACCCTAGAACCACGAGGACTACCGACACTCCCTTTCGAGTACCCTCCACCAAGTGCAAATAGAAATCCCACCTCGATTACTTCTCCTAACGATTTTCGCTGCCGAAAAGTAAATCCGAGACGGTACAGGAAATAGGAGGGAGCCTCTATTAGATCTGTCGGCGTCCGGCAGACAGACCGAAAACGAATTAACCCTCCCGCTGCAAGTTAACAACTCCAGTATTTACGAGCTCTATCGGAAATTGCTCTAGGACTTCCATCTACGTGAAATGTTTTAGTAAACGTGAGTCATCTATAACCAATATGAAATAATAAAACAAGTTTTAATAGATGGCAGATCATCGTAAAAAATCTTTCATTAGCCTAACAACATTTATAATGAAGCCACGTGGTCTTACGATGAAACGTAAAAACGGCATCCACCACAGCATCCATTGTAATCGTGGCAAAGGGTAGTTCGGAACGTGCCCTTCGTTCGATACGTGTTCACGTACGCGTGCACATTTTTGCAACACTGCGACTGGCAGGATGTCGCGGAAGGGGTTGCGTTCTCGCACCGGTAACACGATCAATAAGATAATTGAATACTTTCTCGACAATGCCGGCGGAAGGGAGCAATTTCGCCATCTCCCTTGTACTTGAGCAAGGTCATTGTTTTCGAGGGGATTCTCTCATCTCGCTCCTAAGCTCCAACGGTTTATAATTGTATCCTGCTCCCTTTAAAACGTCGCGTCGCACCGTGCCCCACGTTCGCGACACAAACGAATAAATTGAGGAGAAAGCCGACCCAAACAACGCCCGCGACCGTGACTCATAAATTGCAAATTCGATCGATAGTACGGTGACCATAGAAAACGCGTGAAAACGCAAACTGTGCGATGCCTTTTTTATCGCCCCGTAGGCTGCTTCGCAAAAATTCTATAGGGTGCAGCTTTGTAATTAATTTTGTCGTAGTGCAGGAATAATGAGATATAATGGTTTTCAATATTAGAAGCAAAGTTAGCTAGTGGTTAAATATCGACAATTTAAGTATATAATTATAACAGGATAACGTATTGACCTAGAGCCTTAAATTCCAATAAATGAACACGTGCTTGTATAAAGAAAAGAGAAATAAATACAGGTGTTTACGTCCCACTTTTATATTATAAATTCGCAGGAACGAGTTGATCTGCGAAGGTAGTAAAAGTGCATAAAAAGCCTCGATCGAAACGAGACTATGCGCTCAGCTAATCAACCGTGAAAAGTGAACTCGTAGGAAACAAGGAAGAACGAGTTGGCAACGAGGTATAAAACCAGCTCACGGAACCAATCGAAAAACCGTGAATAGGCTTGGTGAACGATGTAACAGCAGCAGTAAATTAGGGTGACCGTAAGTAGTATCTGTACTCGAGCACGTGCGATCACGGTCGCATGTCTACCTTTCGTATACGCGAGAGTGCAGCGACACGAGAAGTCGAGACGCTTCTCCCGGTATGGGCATAACGGTATCGAGGAATTTTCGAGACATTTATCAGGGGAAATTAAAGGCTGAACGGTCGGTTCCGTTAGGAAAGTAAATCCGACGTAAATTCTTGTGAAATGATCACGCGATTGCGTGATAAAGTAAGACGATTTCTACAGCAGACCAAAGAAAGTGTCTGTACTTCATCCTTATTGACAAAAATTAACGAATTAACGTTATTTTAATCGAGGTCAATAATATAGTATTTGTATTTACTATTATTATAATTTAATTATAATATTAGTATTTATTTAGTTTATGTAATTATAATATGTAGTATGTATAAGTGAGTATTTTGAAATACAAGAGAGAAAAAAAGAAAATACCTTGATACTTTGTCTCATGAATTCAGGCATTGTACTACCAGTACGAGACAGTATGTAAATAAATACGATGCCCGTAACGTGAACTGTTAACACGACGGATAATGAATATAGCAGTTAATAGTCTGTTTTCGCGTATCTGTTTAATAAGCACACGAGCATCCAGCGCAAACATGTGCACGTAAGCACGGTATGAACGGAAAGTGTGCTTACACGTGCATGCACTTGCGTACAACGAGGGAGTATAAGTGAAAAGTGACCGGGTCACGATACTCGATATCGAGCGTCGTAATTACGTGCTCGATCGATTTAAAAAATTGTTGACGTTCGACTTAATGTCCACTCCAGGCAGCGCGTACGCTCTTTTTCTAAACGAATCACTAGGAGTGAATCACATCCTCGTTACGAGTCACATACAGCTGCACTGATTCATTCCTGCATGCACAATAGAAAAAAAGGCATTGAAATCATTCCTCGTTAATACGTTATACAAAAATTATTCGTATAGCGATATGATTTGTTTGTAGTATTTCCGGTTAAGGGAAACAGAGCGGTTCACCGCATTCGAAATTTGGCTGAAAGGCATGGCGTAAAAAACGAATAAACTGACAGCAGGGCGGCGACACCCGGCGTAGCCCTGCGAGGGTGGGTTCCACGAGAGCATGCTGATAAAACCGGCGATCGATAAGAAGCCGGGTTGTATGTAGTAATACGTGCAGCATGAACGGAATACCATAGTAACGCGCATCTCGCGACGCGGTTCTTTGGGATCATCGGGGATGGAGACAAAACGGACTCACCGCTCGAAATTGCTCCAGCAACTCCTGCCGGTCGTCGATCGCAGTGGCCATGTTGTTCGAATATATAATCCTTCCGTCTTTCCTTTCTCCGGCGGTCCCTGCGTGGCCCTTCCTCCCTCGTCCTCTCGTAACCGTTGCAACCGGTGTATACGCGGTACACAAAGGAATACGCGCAACGCGAGTTGGCAATTTTCACCCGGTACACGCGGATAGTTGCGGAAACAGTTACCTGGGGCGTTCTCGCACCTCGCGTACGCGTTCCTGGTTACGACGCGGTTACCAAGCAGTCGGGACACTGCGAACACACGTCCTACTATTACGAAGTCGCAACGAATACTGTCACTGTCACGGCACCGTGCTCCAAACGGAGCGCGCGTCAGTCGCCGAACGGACACGGAAACGCCCGAACTTGTTCGCCGGAGGACCACTGTGGTCCTGATACCTTAGGAAAGGTCCGTGCTTTTCTACGAAAAAGACTTTACAGTTATAATCCAAATTACGATTGCAATTTATATCTGTGTACACGAACAATCCTTTGTTGATTCTTCTCTCGCCTTTTCGCGTTTTATTGCTTTCAACCAGAGTTACTATAATAATGATTCCAAAAGAGTTTTAGTGCGAGACCACAAGTTTAAAGAATCACTTAGCTGAAACTTTTATTTCAAATATCAAGTGTAAATATGAACTTAAACTACACTTTTCATACACCGTTTCGCTGTATTTCTTATACTCTATTTCATATCGTTTAACAACTATCTATTGAAAAAATGTTAGATTTTTTGTGTTCGATATTTCTAGCTGTACTTGATGGAATACGTTGAACCGGAGGGAACAAAAGCGTCTATTACTTGGAACTATTCCCATCCGCGTTCAAAGCGTTACACTTTCGAGGACCTGAGGGCGGAAGTTGTCAAAGAAGCGTCTCTTGAATCCGACAAAAGGCATCTTCTCCGCGAATGATCTCATTCGTCACATTTTCGGTCTTTCTTTAACCGAAGACCATAAAAAACTCTTCTACTTGTCACCCGAAATTCTCGAAATGTATGAAATCAAAATTGAAAACGAAAAAATGATCTATCCATTCATTTAAAAGCTTAGATTCACGTTCTCGGTTTGTATGCGAGTAAAGTTGTTTCAGCGCACGTGACTCAAATATGAGCGCCATAAAATTGTACAACTTTACTCTTAGAGTGAAATATTGCAGACTTCCGCGTACAGGAAATCGTATAGTCCACTGAGTAAAACCGACTATCTCAAATGCAATCAAAGATACACGCGAACTCCCATAGCAACGGATTTGAATTTTGCTCAAGGCCGCGCGAAATGCTAACAATCAATAAGAGGGACGAAATATTCAACAGCCGCTATCTTTATTTCCATGCAATGTTTCTTAAAACGCAGCTTGCTCACTGTTTTCGCTATTAACGTTATCGCTCACGGATAAAGCTAGTGATTATACTCTGCACCTTCTCGCATCGACGCAGAATGAGATATTAAAATGGAATGTCCGATCGGTTGATCGCGTACAGATTGACCCTTGGATCATTTTGTTTTCCATGCGAATTAAAATATCATTATAAAGTCTAACGCGCGTATGATTAATCGTCGAAAGTATGGAAATGCTGCGGATAGAACCGCGTTTAAAGTACGAGAAGACAAAGAGAAGACTGATGAATCGTGAGCGTAAAGCTTCACGGAAATCCACGCTAGTGAATCATTTTTTCTGCATACGCAGCCACGAGATGGGTGTACACATGCATTATTGAGGCAAAAAGGTTCAGGTTGAGTCACTCGCTTAAATAGGTTGATGCGACGCGGAGTCTGTTTCCACGCTCGATTTGATATTGAAATGCGTCGCTGGACGAATGGACAAAGCGGTATGCGCAATTTCGCAACGCATTTACACTTGATATTTAAATTAAGAAGGTCGAAATACCAACGCGTTTTATTCGCATAATTCATGGATATTTAAAATAACGAGTGCCACATGAAGAGATTACAATAAAATAATCATTGTAACGAAAAAAATAGATGTTCTATGCAAAATTAATTATGCGGAAAATAATATGAGAAACCTTTCCCTATTTAATTTTCGGTTGGATGTCATATTCGCGTTCTGCATAATTCCTCTAAATGCCTAGAATATTACTTTCGCTGAAAGCTCTGTCCCTACTAAAACACATATATCTTCTTTGGACCCGGCGTGCTCAACCTCCCCGCTGCGTGTCATATGAATGAGAAATTCACATCTCCCCCAGCTTTCATGTTCCGCCACTCTTTATTGACATTCTATCTCTCCCACCAGTTACACGAATACGCTTCCACGGACATCGACCCTTTTAAATAATGTTACATCACGTAGGATGAACCTGCGACGGTCTTTCCCCAGAATTTTTTTCTTTCGGATGCGCCGATTCATTATTCGATGGCGAATTCTAAAAATGTTTATTTCTCACTCGTCTAAGCTACTTGATGAAGAAGAACAATTTGTAGTATTGAATGTACATGTACACATATACATTTGATATATTTTATCGGAAATCAAAGTGATATAACGTTACAAATAAAGTCTACTTTAATACTACTTAGCCCTAAGTTACATTCACTGTTTCATAAATATTCCTGTCTAAAATCATCGTGTATGAAGGAAATAAACGATATATCCACGTTTCACACAATAACAGACAAGTAATAACAGACAAGGCGATAAAAAGGGATAATGCTTATTTGATCGGAACCTTCCTTCGCAAACGAAGTATGGAGGATAATAGAAAAGATTCGCACGTAGACAATAGGCATGAAGTATATGACGATGCTTCTCTACCGGCTAAATTTTTGGTGAAATAATTAGAAGATTCTTTTTCTTGCGAGGTGAATAAGTAAAGCAGATTTGACAGTAACGCTCTATACAGATAGCTCTGTATATATTCGACAGAACTGAAAATAAAAAGAAACAATCGAGTTTAATACCCAAATAAATTGAAAATTAAGTAACGCCTTTCGACTATATCGTTCCAAAGAATGATGACGATTCAATTACTAAATAAGTATCTACATTATCTAATCTTAGAATCACGAGAAACATAAATGTAGAATGTTAATTGACAAAAGTAAACTACCACGGTATGCAACCATATCACAAAATAGAATTTAAATTCCTTCCTTTTTAACGAACACAGCAGAATAAATATTAACTGTACTTCGAGATAAAACTAAGGACTGATGAGATCTAATTAGAAATGAATTTACGAAAACTATTTGGTCAAAGCATAATACCGTCTTCCGTAAATTTCCGTCGAGAAAATAAAATATGCGCCACTTATCGCTAATTGTAACATCAGCTGTGGCTGACGTAAACTTAAGTAAGTAATCAATTTTTCGCATTAGCTGAAGTAATTTTAAAAACACTACTATGAGTGCACGTTAAATAAATTTCTTGTCGCGAGAAAAAAAGGTAGAAACGACGCTATATAGATTTGTGCTCGTTACCAAGGTGATTGAGTTGAAATGAATTGAATTATTATGATGACAATTAGTATAACTTCCTGGAAACGCGTAGGCACTTGCCTTCATGTTTTGTTCAACGAATGATCAATATCCCACGTAGTATTTTTATGGTAAAGTATAGTGTTCGAATATATCCATTTTGCAATTAGTTCTAAGACGATCACGTACAGTTCCAATCTCTTTTTTCCTACATCAATCACAATGTATTTTTAATGATAGTGTACTATTTTATGAAGTACACGAATTTATTATCAGTTCCTTTCTTCTTTACTGTTTTTTACTTTTTTTTTTGCTTAATTAGAAAATGATTTTAAGTACCTTGTGTATAAAATATACATATACAGCCAATGTTCCATTATGGTAGAAAACAAACGAAATTCGTACGAAACATGAAAACACACTATCGTTAGAAATTCACTGCGCTCCCGCATATCTAAGAGCAATAATCAAATAGATTATCGAGCCCTTTCCGTTTCTGTACAAAAATATTATATAGTACACATAATGTCTCATCGATTCTTTGACCTACAGTCTGTTTTAAACGAGACACATAACGTACTAATCGCGGATGGTACAAGGGATCTCTTTATCGCTATGACTGACTTTCTAAATGAATTCTGTTAAGTACGTATGATCGTATAATATATTTCTTATTCTTGTTTTTTTTTTCCTATAAAGTACGAGGCCTAACAGAAGACAAAAATTCGTTAACAGAATTCATTCGTCATGTCAGTGTCTACGATTTATTATGTATGTTCCCATATGCAAATGTCTAAAACATACTGTTTGTCACATCGTCCCACACGCAACGTACATCCGTATAGTTTTACCTCGTATGGGAATTCAATGATCAATATTCGTCTTATTTAACAACCTAATTATACAAAATTTCTTGCGTTATTCGCGCATTTTCATCGAACAACCCGTGATAGACGTTTTCTTTTTGCTTTATTTCTTTACATAATGCAGATATTCTTTGCATATCGTATTTGAGAAAAGGAGAAAATATTGATAGACAGAGGCACACACATAACACACTTATACGAGAATAAAATGGATCGTTCTTTGTAAAAAAAACTTAGACCAATAATCACACTAAAAAAGAGCACGTATAATTATCAACTAATACGCGAAGCATGGTTTTGTACCAGAGTCAACATTAAATAAACAAATTACATTCCGTAATATATTGTTTACATCAATGACAACACGCGTATTCCTGCCTCCTTATTCTCCAGTTTCGCTTCATCGAGAATGAGATCCATATTTATAACGCTTAGAACATTGATAAAATGATTTATTACTGAATTATATCTTATCGTTAATGTAAGTATCGTCTCTCTAATATTTAGGGATTTTATAATACTTTAATGTATAAAGAAATGTGTATGATACGTAAGCTTTTAATTACGCTACATCAATACATTACATCATGTAAATGTTAACAACATTCAGTGAAGAAGTTTAACGCGTAAGACAGTTAACAAGTTTAAAAAGTGAATTTGTACTAACATTCAATTTATGAAAACATAAGCACACCAAGGTATCATTCATCAATCTGCTAATTATTACAAAATGTAATATCGTCATAAGAAAAACCAAAACCGTTTCTTTCACGTTAAGTGATTAAGGAAATTGTAAAAGTTATTCGTGAGTCTACGGTAACATAAATTAGTTTAAGTTATAAAATGTACACGCTTGTAGGCCCTTCAGAAATGCTTCACTGATATTAATAATCGTACAAAATGATTTTACAGATGCTCGCGACGATAATACATGTAATGAAATGAAAATCAAATGACTCGTATAAATAACGTAAGTTGTACACTCTGGTCCAAAATCCAATGAATCCGGATCAATTATTTTTGGAAGGCAGATTTAGATATGCTATGTATCTGCATGTCAACTTCTTTCTTTTATACAAACTGCAACTTACTTCTATTTACCGATCTAGTTTTCTTATAGGTATATGTATAATGTCTATACTCTATATCTTAATACACACAATATTTCAGTCTATCTGTACATATACTATTTAAACGCAATCGTCTTGCGCTATACGATTAAAAGCCGATACAAAAACCGACGGAATCTCCTTTGAAATAGAAGTATTCTGAGTTGACTTATGTATTTCTTTATTACATATATTACCACCGTCTGGAAGTTGCCTCTCGTGTCACAGATCATCCAAAATCGTCAGGTCAAAGCTCCAATTTTTTTTTACAACCCACCGTGTAACACTGTTGTAAATAGCATCACATTCACATTACGAACTGTATTATAATTAGTGCTAACACATATCATTAGTCACGTAACAGTCGTTGGTCTCGCAAAACCAATATTTTCTTTTCTTTCGACATTTGCAGCGAGAGATAAGAAATAAGAGTTACAATGAGATGCAAAGTACAAATTTAGATCTTTTTATGTCCCGTGTGAATCATCAAGTATATCTCGGTTCATCCGCGATACTTGTCCCATAGTAGTATACGTCTGACAAAATTATGATTTATAAGTCTCGCGTTTAATGCGCAGTTAGTTGTCATTTTACATGAAGATCAGCTTCGAAAGTCAATAACAACGTGCGAAATCAATTTCGTACAACTAAAAGTAAATGTATTATACTAGGGTAACACATCCTATTCTTGAAAATCCTCTATTTTATATCGAAAAATGAAAAATAAGATACATTATAATACATAATACATACAAAAAATGTATAGCTCTGTGAAGCGTATCCAATCCAAATATAAAAATAATATTCGTCGTCAATATTGCAATTGGATCGCATTATAATACTTTATCTCTAATATCCGCTCGCAACAGTGATAAAACAGCATTTGCTAACCAGCAGTACCCAACTGACTGAATGGTGATCGTAGGTAACATTAATTATTTTGGCTGCGTTGTACACAGTCGAAATTGAGTTGAAAATAGTAAGCGTCCTAGCCTTGTACAGAGCTAACAAGGGAAGGTAGGCTAGTAAGTCCTGACGAAGGATGTTGTCTCTTGAATGTCTGCCTCACTGTCTGTCCCCTGGTATCCCTGAGATTGAGAAAGGGAAAGAAGTGCATCCAGACCTAATGATTCAGCTAGGGGATCTGGCGCTCTTGACTACAGTAAAGACATCGAAAAAAAATATTGCACTAAAGCTACGATACAACATACTACTTAGCAAATAAAAGGCCTTAAAACAAATAACTGAAATCGAATTGAGAAACAGCTAATATTCCAATTTAAATTCATAAGTAACGAAACAGAATAGGGGAATAATAATTTACCAAGCTACTATGTATAATAAACATATTTACTGTTATTGTGTACTCCAAGTATTTTAAGCTCTTAAACATTTACTCACTGTTGAATTTTGCTCCGCCTCTTTACAATTACTGCATATGTAATCATCCTCCTCTGCAATCTCTGTACGGTCCAATCCCACGCAATGCATATGGAACCAACCTTCACAACCGCCATCACATTGTACCCAATCAACTTCTCTACCTAATATACAAACGAGATCAAGAAAAGCATGTACAATATTGAGACAAAACAGTAATGTTAAGATCTTATGAAGAAATGCACTCTTACCACTAGGATGTAAGCAGTTAACAGCCGCGCAGTCTTCTTCTTCGTCCGAAGTATCCTGTTTAGTTTTCTTTCTGTTGCCGCCTCTTTTTTTCAAAATTTCCTCGCCCTCTTTGCGTTTCATCTAGAATGCGTAGATAACATTTGCATTTATGACACTTAATTTAAAGTAAAACACCTACAAATCTATTTCAATTTAATTACCTTGCGAGGACCACGCTTCATTGGCACCGGAGAACCAGCTGATTTTTTTTCCTTCTGTAGTCCCTTGCGTTTAATTAAATGTTTTTCTTCCATTTTTTGCCTTCCCAGTTTCTTCGCTAGTTCGAACTCCTCAGATTTCCTCTTTCTTCCCCGCTTCTTTACATCCTTATTGTCTTGGTTCACGTTTGTCTGAACTTCCTCGTACGATGCATATTTCCGTACCGTACTCGGATTATTTGTATGACTTAATATACGCCATATGTGCTGTGTTTCATCCAATGCAACTTCTAGTAAGTCACCTTCCATCATCAATTCTTCTAAACGTAGCCTCGCTGTTTGTGAAAGTACAACCGCAATATCGGCAGCATCGTTCGATAGCGACTTACGTTGAATTTTTGATACTGGAAGCAAAGGAATACGTATACATATGTACAATTACTATCCATACCTATTTTCGTTACGAGAAGCTAAAATCTTACTAAAAGAATATGCATGTTCATTACTGTTGAACGTACTACAACTTGGCTCATCATCATCTACAGTAACAACATCGTCATCGTCGTCCTGAAATATATTATATACGTCATACAATCGTAAACAATCTAAATATATTTTATTCTCATATATACAATATGTAAACGGATTTAACAGAACTTACTGCGGTACTGAGAGCACTATCGTCTGAATGGACACCGCTAAGTGGTGCAATTGCTTGAACCCTTTGATGTAACTCAGGGTTATTCGCTGCCTTTTTCAGTTCACTACTAATAATTTTTTCTGTCTTTTCCCTCGCTGCCGCTTCGACCAACTTCTGTGATAGAACTGACAGTTTTGTCAGTGCCGTGGAAATTTCATCCGTAGCTAACGCCTGACGGGCCCGATCCTAATCAATGTAACATATGAACTACGTGTATGACGTACATCATGATACATTAACACTTGATTTATTAATGTCAATTGACGTACCTGCCAATTCATTGCACGCTCCGTTAAACATTGCAACGCTTCACCCTCTGATAAACGAATTGGAATCTTCTGAAGGCTAACTAAAAGCGTTAGAATCGTTTCTAATCGTGGCCGACGTGAACGTAAACAGCACGGGCACAAAAATTTAATTTCCCTCGACATTGGTGATTTTCCTTTATATGATGTCTTTGGGAAAGGTACACAATTTGCTAAAATTATGATTCATTTCAATTATTTATAGCTGAATTCGATTAATATATGTATGATAATGTAACTATATTACGTACTGTGGAACCAATCCTTACAGAGCTCACATTGGAGCATGAGCCCGAACCTTGGTCGACGGCACACGCAATACCTAGCATCATCTATTTCGGTTTTCATTAAATTTCTTTCTCTTAAATTTCTCATTGCGTCCATCTCGCGTTGTTCAGCTAATTTGAACGCAGCGACGATGGTGGCCGAATTATTGGTGTCATCCAATCTTGTATCACAGACGAAAACAGGCCCTGCAGAATCTTCACTCTTACTTCTCTTAGCTTTCAACGATTGTATACCAACTCCAATTCGTGGCGACAAAGCTTCCATTAAAGTGTAATGTGAATTCTTCCTTAGGAATGTTCTTGCTGTCCTTTCTTTCCAAGTTTTTGCTTGCGAAAGGGTAGATTCTAAGATTGGAAGAGCATCTAAGTGTAATGGAATATTTCTACCTCTCTTAATTAGATCATCTAACGTATTGTAATATGGGAAATTGTCTCTTGCTTGTAGCTCTTCCACGGTCTTTGTCCAATTTTTTGCTTTATTCAGCGTCTCTTGAAGAACACTTAAACTCGGTAAATAAGCTTCCACATTGTCAGCTTCACGAATAAATTCTTCGAGAGACGAAATAGTTTGTCTGTTTTTCGTATGAAGATATAGTTTTGCTTTCTCTTCCCAATTGTCGATTGCGACCATTAACGATTGTAATTCCGAAAGTGTATTCTCTATAGTCAAATGAGGTGGTATTGTCATGCCCTTTTCGATCAATTTTGCTAAATCTTCACGATGAACGGACTTTGGATCTTCCTGAACAGACTTCACTTCTTCGAGCCATTGTATCTGCATTAATTTCTATAATAAAACAAGAAATTAGAGATCGTTACGAAGTCACGATTGACTTAATTTATTACCATCATGGGCACTTACCTGTTTCAAACGTATAAGTTGAGGTAGTTCAATGCAAATAGAATCTCCGAAATCAATACATTTCTCTAGCTGTTCAATGTCACAATCTTCGTCCTTAGATTCTAGCTCCTCCGCTTCCTTTTGGAACTGCAATACTTGATCAAGTATATATTTTACACCATCAGATTCCTTGAGTTCACAGCATAAATTTGTTATTTCCTTGTAGAAAAGAGTTAACTCCTCTACCGTAAGCTTGTATTTAGTTTCAACAGACTGCCTGGTTCTGTAGTAAAGTCTTGAGTTAATTCTATTTGCTTGACACAGATACCACAGATAGCATAAATCACAGAATAACACAATACCTGGTACGTTGTTTGTTATTCAAAAGTTGTTGTGCAACACTTGCGCACTTTTCTGCATCTTGCACAGCAGTTGTCAAAGCTGTAAGTAACTCACTCTCTGGGAACTTTTTACTTTCTGCCTCATTTAAAAGTTCTTTTAATTCATTTAACTCAATTTTATCATTCTTCTTATCAGGATCCATTGCTTCCTTCACTTTTGTTACCCATGAGTCAAATGACTCTGCCTTTAATTTTAATTTTTGTAACATAATTGGTAATTCGTCTAACGTGTAACGATAACGTAATGTATGCTTCTCTGGTGGACAGTCGCAAAGTTCCGTAAAATGTCTCAAACAAACTAACTGAGAACTCTGACATGAACATGTAACTGCACTCAAGAAACAAGTTGTCTTGCACGCTTCACACTGTCTTTCATCATCTGGCAAAAGTTCAAATGCTTCTCTTTCTGCTTCTGTTACACCCTGTAAAACATGGTCTTTATCACAAAAACTATTTGTAGTTGAACTATACTGTTCTTACATTTCAAAAGAAATATTAGATTGCAGATTGAGAATATCAATGAAACACATGTATCCATCTGTGAAGGAATAAATTTTCAAATAGAGAAATCTCTTGTAAACATATAATTTATTTTGAATTGACTTTAATGGAGTTTGATCAAGGGTCGAAAAGAGAACATATAAAAATTTTCGGTTCAGCAGAACAGATATAAAATCCGTTTAGCATCATGGCAAAAACTTCAAAAACATAACCTCTATTCACCAATAAAGTTATATAATCGCAATCAGAAACGCACCAAATAGGTAGCAACGAGTCAAGGTTGATACTTAAAGAACGATCGCACAAAAACTATTTTAATGACAACTAAAGTGCAAGCTAACCAAAAATAACGAAATGTACGAAGACATTAATGAGGATTATAACGTGGACGATGGAACTCTACTGCTACGTCCAATAGCGGGTAATATCAGCCGCGCACACATCTCTCACCGCGTGTGCCCGCATGGTTACGATTGTGTGCGTTACCCGACGCCAGTGTGTGCCATTGCGTGTGTGAATTAGTGAGAGAATGCCTCGGCATATACTATACTTGTACTACTTGACCTAAATGTATTAGGCTGTGCATTTAGAATTATAATTTCTTCTATACGAGAAAGTGCTTTCATTTAAGTATTTGTGCATTTCAATATTTTGTAAGTGGCAATTATAAATTTTAGGATATTTCTAAGGATTAATGAAAAAAAAGCATAGATAAGATTAATATCATTAATCATTGCACACGAGGAAGAAGTCTACGTCATTAATTCTGTTATGCAAACAATATGTAAATAAGTCACTCACCCATTCTAGTAGATTTTTCCGTAGTTTTTTCTCATCGTCTACCATTTGGAGCATGTCGTGGTAAGTTGCTGTTGCGATTCCTATGTCAAGTGCATCTGGATCCAATGACATTTTACACACCAGTTCATCATGAGAAAACACGCAGAAACGTCTTAAATTCGAATAGTGGCTGATACAGTCCCGTCCAAGTTTGAGCTATTGAACATACAGAACGGATTCCATAAGCGTAAGGATATAGAATATTTCAATGACAGCAAACTTAGAATGATAATATACCCAATCAGCGGGAGCAAAATTCACAGCTTCAGCGAAGTTATATCCTTGATTAAAACCTGCGTGATACGCTCTCGGAAATGTGACCACGAATTCGCCAGCATGTTGATCAGTTCTAAATACTGGAACACCTAATAATAAAATGCAAAACGTTATTGGCAACAGTAGAATATTTTCCAATTAATAAAATAGTAATTAAAAGGAATTTGTGATTACCTTCCTTTGTTAGAATGTTAGGATTCATAATAGTGACCAACTGATGAAGTAAATCTGGTTGACTATGAAACAGTTCTGGTGCTGCTGATTTCATCGAGTGTTCAAATTGTTCTGCTCGCGAGCCTGGCACGCCGTACCACGTTTTCGGTTCTCCCCAATGTAAATAATTAATAGAATAGCTCCAGTGATCCTCGTTGTGCCAGCAAAATGTTGCAAAACACATTCCAACGTACATCCATGGTACTTTCATACCACTGATGTCAGCATTGATGTGACCTAACACGCTTCCACGCAGAACCGGCAAATTGTTTAAGTTCCACGAGGATTCAGCATATTCCTGATCACACGTAAATAAATTGACACTAGTTTTCGTTGGAAATCCAGATCCATGATCCATCGTATGTAAATCTGCTCCATATTCGACAGTAACGTCCTCATCAATTGACGAAACTATTCGCCAAAATTCTTTTTCCACTAATGATGTTGGAACCATCTATAAAAAAAGACGAAAAGATTCAGTTATTATTATAGGATGACAATTTTCTAAAATTCTTGTTTCACTAATGATGTTGGTACCATCTATAAAAACAAAGATTTATATATCATTAGATAATTATCATTACAGAATAGAGATAATTATCATTACAGAATTACAAAGCAACACAGGACAACATACGTGTACGGGCATATTAAAGTAATCGCTTTTAAACTGATCAGCCATTTCTCCGAACTGTTGAAGAGTATATTCCCTTTGTGCCTGTTCAAACCCAAATGCTTCCATTGGTTTAGAAACTTCTTCCGCGACACACTTTGGACATCTCCAATCACCTTTCGGTATTTCTGTCAACGGTGGCAAGAGGCAAAAGGTATGATAACTATCGTCGCATCCATCGCATAACAGCATGCTCTCTTCATTATCACCTCTCTTACAGTTGTGACAAATATACTTTGCCAACTATAAAAATGTATCAATGTTAGAAGAAAATAATTTCTACAATTAGTTATGAAACGATATATGATGTATGCACTTACTGGATCAATGTCATAAACACGTTTCATACCCCTTGTTTTGTTAGATTTCTTTCCTTCTTTGGTATTAAATCCGGCCATTTTTGGGCCAGCTCCATAAAATTGTAATTTCTTAAGTTCTTTACTATCTTTGTCATCGACACACTCATTATTCTTGATTCCATCTTTACAATCGCTATCGGAATCATATTCTTCCTTACAATCTTCTTGTTTAATGGGCGATTCCTGCTTTTCTTCCTGGCCATTGAACCTCTTTGATCTACGTGAAAATTTTTCAGTCGGAGGTTTAATCTGTTGTCGCGAAATAATTCCATGAGGTTTATAATCTTTATCCTTCTTCTCATTTACGTTCGAATCTGGTTCCATTTTCTGTGTAATCAAACATAACGCGTCACATAAATGCACTAATCTTGAAAAAATGACAACGCCAAATGACAAATTACGTACAATATTTGCCAGTGTTTTCCCTTGCTTAAATACGTCAAATGGATATAAAATACGTTCATAATGGTTTTTTAAGATACTTCCTACACTGCGTCCCGAAGGGTAGCCTAATTTGTTAGCAATTTTTGCCCACCTCCTTTCCCTCGTCACGACGTCTATTCCACCTGGGAACAATACGAAATATTTAAATTGTCGTAGAATATGAAACACATTAATATGATTAAGTATGAAAATAACAAACCTTCATCAGTAACTATCTTATGCAAGGAATATAAATCAAGTGCTTTGCGTTCAACAAGAGGGATTTTTAAAGATGAACCTTGTAATTCCCAGAACTTTGCAATCTGATCCAAGAAATTAAGTTTTATTCTGGTTTTTGCTTCCAGTTCGTTTAATCTTTGTATTCTTGGGACAAACTTAAATTTGTCAACGTCAACTGCGAATGGTGGTTGCCAGTTCTGAAAAAATTTACGAGAAACGTAGAAGTTAATTCAAGATCATTTTACTATAGTTTAGAGCATTGTTACTAGTAAATATTACATAAGATCTTAGTATAATTCCTAAACTCGTATGAGTAACATAAGAATAAGAAACTGAATCATATGAAAGAAAAAACGGCACACATTTTTAATTATATTCTATGTATGTATTTTCGTTTGTCGAAATCGAAATAATCTTTAATTTATCCATTACTTTATAACGTTTTAGTGACAGATATAAATCCAAATTTTTACAAATATGAGTATTACAAAAATGTGTTCATGGATTACACGTATTGTTTACTTAGCATAGTTCACATTCTGTCGTCTATGCGATAATACTTAAAAGTTTTCAGATGACTCAATTAGTTTAATAAAATCAGAATCGAGAGGGTATGTAGAGTACGGATAACAGAAATACAATTAGGAATTTTCCTATTGATATTCGATTAGAATAAAGAGAGAATAAAAATAGACTTGCGTTTATTCAAATTTCGTAGTGAAATATTAAGAGTTTATTGATGGATCCACTACTATATAAATGTATACGTCTAACTAAATAATCGATAAATGCTTTGGTAGCTTCATCTCTGCCGTGACGCAATACCATTGTGAGATTAAACGACTATTTAAAAACAACATAATACGAAATATGTAAGAAATAGGTATGGATACAAAGAGATACAGGGTTTCGTTGGCATCACATGGTATTTTTCGCATCACATTATACCAGTAAAACGAATGATGAAGCGATGTCCTTAAACTGATGTATATTATTGCAAGATAAAAATTCGTGTTGAATATATAAAATATCACGAAGATTTTCTCCATACATGACGCCCATTTAATGTCGTGACCATAGTTATTTCCGTAATGGCGTCATCCCGTTACAAAATATAAATTTTCTCGGATCAACCAGTTTTATTCTATCAATACTCTTGAATGAGATTATCAGGCGAATCAAAGAGTTGATAGTACAAAAAAAAATTAGCTGGTATTGTTCGAACGAAAATCAATTCCGTATGAGCTAAGAAAGTGGCTTTCAGGGTGAACGTTTACAATCATAAAGAGGTGTGTATATCGTATCGTCTGCTGCAGTTACGTTTGACAAAAAAAGAAAATTTTAATTCATACACAAATACGTGCACTTCCCTTGCATGTTAGCCGTATCCTTTATTAAAAATAAACATCGTTACGACATTCAATTTGCTATTATTCATTTTGCTCTTATTTCGACTTTTACAATGAAGACAAACATTAGAATTTACATTGTAAAATATTTCTTAATACATGCGAAAACAAAATGGTGGCACAAATCGATTCTAATGGTGCAACTAATAGTTGCAAAACATCAAATAAGAAAAGTAATTGCATAAAAGGAGAGTATTCTTTTTATATAAACACGCGAACAAAATCCTTAGCACTTTCCATCACGTAAAATTCAAAGTGAAAGAACGATTATGTCCAGTTCCTACGTATAATAGATAAATGAAGGTGTATAAAGATTCCCACAAACTTTGCCATATAACGCTATGTAAAACGAAGGATATTTATTTATACAAAAATCTACGATCGTATTTATATTTTTAGATAAAACGGAAACTTCTAGGTACACATCGAACCATTACCGCATCGATTATACGTTTGATGTCCTATACTCCTCAGGATGAGCATTATCTATAAATTGGCGATAATTATTTGACCAGATTCTCTATGTCATAATTTCTCTATGTTACGAATTTAATTTTGAGACATTTTCCTAAGGTGACATTGTTTCGATTGTCTCGGCCATTTTACACAGCGTACCTTCTAGCTACATATAACGATATTAAATGTCGCAATGAAACCGTACCTAATGCATTTCGTGTTTCAAAGTTCTTTATTTTCTAAGAATCCTATAATTTCCAACTGTAACTGTCCCGTGGGAAAGATGTCGACCCACTCGAGAAATGAACAAAACTGTAATGCGCAATTGTCGTACAAAATCGAAATCCTTTGAGATTAGGCATAGTACTGGTTTATTCCCTTTCGATCGTATTATCTTTCGAGCCGTGTCGACAAGAGACGTCGCGGGTTTTACCAGACTCAACAGCTTTAACGCGGCCACGGAAAATAAGGAGCTCATTAGTACTTTCATGAAGACACGTTGTCACGAGAAATTGATTTTCTTGTCCAGTTCATTTTTGTTCTAAAGTACGTGTTACGTTGGAACTCATTTATTTTGTGATGTCACGGTTGCGATGTCCGTGCGGAAGCGTCACAGTTCGTAAACGAGGTCGTGCCTGCATATCTCCGTGCACACGTTCGTCCGATCACAAAAAAGAAGTATAAATCCATCCGATCCGTGGGATCGTCTTACTTTCAAACGACGAAAACCATGAACAGTATACACAGCGTCTACCCAGTCTACTCTATGATAACGGGAAGGAAAGAGAAATCGGGGAGACGGGAAAGAGAAGGATTGATGTAATCGAGATAGCGAAAGATTTTACTCACTGGCGGCGGTTTGATCTTACAAATCCCAGACTTTTCCGCGATCGGTCGTATTTTCGCGATATAAGCGAGGGGGTCGTGAAACTCCTCGATACTCGGTTCGAAGACCGGCGCCTCTGGCGGTGTGGCGAACTCGAAGTCCGAATCACCACGATCACAAGCCATATTTTGGTAGCAATTATAAGTCCCGAAAAAACCGTCACAACCGAAGCTCCCGTCGAACCTCGATATCATGACTTGGGTACTCGGCACAGCTTGGACGCGGATAGGTGGTCCACGACGCACCTAACGCGGGTGAGGACCTCGCGTCAGGGTCTAGCACCGTTACTCAGCCACCGATAACGAGAATTTACTTGGGAACGTGCCACGATAAATCATTTTCGCGAACTGCATTTGTATACCTCGTGGGAAGTAGTTGACAATGTTCGCGATAGCCACAAAACACACAGTGCACAACATCCACAATATCACGCAGAGCCTCGCACACGAGCAACTGTCCAATTCCCAATCCTTACTTCGCACACCTCCCCACCCGTGACACTTACTTCATTAACATGCAACAGTAGTGCCACCTTGCATCGATCAGTACTTTTCTATTTATTAAGTTATTCATGCCGTGGACACGTAAACAAAGATATCGGTATTATAAACGCTTTTCAAGGCTCACGCAGAAAATGGAGATAACAAATTATTATGTTCAAGTACAAGTATGAACGTAAATTGGAGCCTATACGCAATAAAAGGTGAGTGACGACAACAAAAATTCCCTACGAGCTTGTAACAAATTTCATTGCTATACGTAATCGAAATAGTTGTTAACTTTTATAACTATCAATACAACTCATAATAAAATCTTCTGTATTCAAATTGTATTACGTACATGCAAAATAATTATATTAAATATAAACAATCATTTAGAAAATTAAAAATATTTACCTCGCTCATGGTATAAATAAATATAAGAGTCCTATAAATTTTTGTAATCTATATATATATGTATATTATTGTATATTGGCTAGCTCCATCGATTCGTTTCGTGCTACTGCTAGTGCAGTATCATCTGGTGTCATCGGGTCCCTTCAAACTGCTTCATACACGGCACGTTTTTTAGACTAGAATCTTGGTCAATCCTAATTACGTAAGTTTTGCAATATCAATAAAATTGTCTTAAATATTTAGGTACTTAAGAAATTCGAGAAATTCGATCCATAGTTCCTTCTACAATTTCATTCAATAAAATTGCAATAACCTGTGTATATTTAGTCTGGCAAAGTTCTTTCTTAGCATTATTTGTACAGTATCTAGGTTACATCTAAGAAATATAACATGGATATGATTTTTCTTTCAGAAGTGAGTTAAAATGGGTTTGCATTTTGGAAACCTTGCAAAAGTCACAGGCATCACATACTTTCGTCTTAGCCCTTATGAACAAAGGGCTTTTGCTGGTTTACTTGATGGTTCAGGTAGATGGGTAAAACGCATGAGATCAGGCTTCCTACGAGCTGCACCCTGTGAGTATTTTCATTTCTACTTATTAAAATTAAGGTTAATAACATTTCTATTTATTAAACTGCCTGATTTTCTTCGACAGTCTTCATGGGTACTTATATGGCACAGGCATGGGCAACTGAAACAAACCACAAACTTCACCGTAAGGATCCAAAAGATTATGAAAATGACCAATAATTTAAATGTAGGATAAGTATTCATAATTGAGTTAAACATAGTGTATACATGTAATGGTAATAATATCGAATATATAACTAACTAAAGTGTGATAATAAAATTCTTTTCTTTTATTACCTTGGCAACACTGGTTCATTTTTATTTCACATTGCCATTTGCCATGTAAGCATACGCAAACACATAAACAGTAAAAAATGCTGAGATCAATAATGGGAAAAGAAATTTACTCAATACTGCCGATCGATTGGGAACGCATAGAATTTCTGCAATTGTTAACAAGCCTGAACCTGAACTTTAAAATGTCGAAAGTATCTGATTCCGTTAGATCTAAGCGCCATATTCAACAGGTAAGATCCCACCAATGGGAGAGTCCGTGTCAGGAATGCATCTGGGCAAAACAGGTATGGTAAGAAAGGAACGGGCAAAGAGCAATCAGGTAGTCGCTCAGGTATTTTCAGTCGAGCATGATCGGCGCTCTAGCTCTCTGGTCGAAAAGTTACTTCTCCTTCTCCTCCTCTATCGCTTACTGTTTCGGTGTGCGCGTATTGTGAAAAATTTTGTGTAAATAGGTAAGTAACCGAGGATCGTGGAAGGATTTTCGTTCGCGTCCGCGTGAGGTGTGATTTTTGTCGTTTTCGCTTACGCCGACCTGCGTTCCGTACGGATCCCGAGCCGCGGAACAGGGATCCAGCGGGCTCGGGTGAAACGCTGCTGTCAAGGTATTTATGGAAATGATTTCTTGACTGGAGTCATTGTACCGAGTGCACCGACGTGGATTTCTCCCCGTGGAGAATCGTCTGTTGTGATCGCACCTGTTGCTGTGTACAGTGTACATATAACACACACACGTCCCCGATGATAATCAACGCACGAGCATTCATACCTATATACTTCACGTACATAGTACTAGTCACAGTAAAGGAGTTCAATAAAAAAAATCCTGCTGCCAATAAGATGCGGTCTGTAAGTGAGACACGAGTCGTGCGAATCCGACTCGCGAACGCATTTTTACAAGGAAGGGATACTTCGTCGGTGTGTTCGATGATACAAGTCTCCAAAGAATAATTGAATGCATTTTCGTTCTATTTCCGCTGGGATTTAATCGTAACGCAAACTGGGACTATGCAATCGTACGGTAAACAATATCGTGTTCATCTTGTCTGTCTCTCGCCGTGCTTAGGATACATTTTTATGCAAATGTCACTTTGAACGTCACGATGAAAATATAGCGCATGATTGCAACGCGACGTCAACTTCGTGGACATTAACGACGCTAATAATATTTTGTGTCACTCAACGCACGTTTTTTCACGCGTATACATACACACAGTTTAATAAAGAATGATTTTTACTACGTTATCGTTGCCACGTACAGATCAATCGTAGTGATTCATTGTTATGGAACTTTTTTATTCACTCATTTTTTCAATGATTACCTTTCCATTGTTTTGATGTATTTCTTATGAAAATCTTACATTTCTATTTATAAGAAATACTAAATAGTATTAAAATTAACGATTATGGAGGAAGAGCAGTGAATCTTTTTTCGGTATTTTATCACCTTATGACGTCTTCAGACGGTTGTATCACATGCATTGTTCATCACTTATCGGATAACATTCTCGATTTTTGTTCTTCCTGACGAAGTCACAATCACATTAAATTGTCTTTAATCGCGCGTAATTTCTTATCAGTCCGAGATAGTTGATGTTCAGATGAAACTACGCGAGTTATTTCGCAAGTAGCGATTTCTTCACTACTGAATACATTTACTACATTCTTCTGAATAAACATAAATTGTCTACAACATAAGATACAACTTTTTTATTACATTTCGATTAGGGATAGTATTTATAATCAAGAATAATCGATGTATACATATAAAAATGTGTGAGATACGTGTGAATTCTAATTCTTTACAAAATGCGTGAAGCATTGAAAAGGAAGATGTCGATGGCACCGTGAGTACAGGCAATCACCTGCAATTCACGCCTACGAAATACCTACGTAGTTCACCATTACGATCGCCGTGACATAAATTGCAAATATTTACCGTAGTCCGCGTGCATCGATATTGCATCGAGCAACCTTCAATATCTTGAGAAAAAAGAATGCATACGCGCTGAACCAGTGCTGTACATCTTCCGGCGATCACACGATTGATTTTTGAAAAGTATCCTCGATGAATGATAAATCGCTTCATGTGACGAAGTAAAGCAGAGAATGATCAAATCTTTTTTCAAAACCAACTTAGTCATTGTAATTTCGGTATGCATTCAATTTAGAAAGCCGGTGCAGAATGCTTGGTAATTATCTACTAATCTTTCTGATAACGTCCGTGTCCAATAACTAATCTGATATATAATTATAATCCACGAAGATACGTTCATGTCGAATAAGATTCAATAACATTCTTAATAATCTCACTATACATTAGATTATTAATCATTTATACACGTGTGTCTATCCGAAATAGACATGAAAAAAGGAGTTTCGATTAACTGGAATTAATTGTGGCTGTGGATGCAAGTAAGTGAAAAGTTCATTCGCTCGGTCCATTCACTGCGAAACTTGTTCGCAACAGGCGGATCAGTAGGTATGCGAGGCGCATTGGCAACTTTCTTTCCACTTTTTCAATCCTCGCACCACTATACATCCATGTTATGTTTACTTTCAACAGGCGTTTACTCGTCGTGTCTCTCCGTCCAGTTATTTTCTTGAAAACTTCCAACCTGACCACTCCTAATCGTATTTCGACCCTCGACCGGTGTCAAGTAGTTCGACAGGTACCTCCGGGCTATTGTATTCAGTAATTTAACGCATTCTAGATTAGGAATTTTTATGATCCTCTTTGTGAAGTCTATTTTTACCTAAATAAAACAGCGATACGTTAATTTGAAAAGTGTTACTTTTAACAAGTATGGCTTATTACCTTGATCTAATTTGGCCTATTTTTATGAGTTCTTTAACAGCTCTCGTTAGAGTTAACACGGTAAAACTTGTTGTAAGTATATTTTCGTACGAGTTCGTTAGACCTTTTAAGATAGTGGACACTTTACTAGGTGATAAAGTGTTTCAAACCTATCCTAATTATTTAGGTGTTTGTTACAAAGATAACGATTACACTTTGCTGGTATATTTTAAAATGGCTATGTAAATATTTCCAGAACATGAGGTAATTCACCGTGTGAAATATTCAACGTGCTATCTTATCACAGAATTTAAATATTCATCAGTAATTGGAAAGTCAAATGCTCAAACGCGACATACATATCGACAAAATTCTACAAAGATACTTTCTTTCCGACTGCTCATTATCAAAGGCACATCATTACGTAGCTTGCAGTATCGGGAAGAGATTTTAGTCCCTCGAGAAGGGTGAACAACCTTCGCCACGAGATATTCCACGCACTGGCGAATAAAGAGAATGCGAGCAAAGCGTTTGTTGCTCGTGCCATGATAAATCGGAAAGACGTCGGTTTTACGATGTTACTTATAAACCATCTTCTCACAGGGGAAGTTACATTAACGACGATGTAAATTCTTCCCGTTTTTCGCGGTTCTAATCATGCAACCAGGCGACGCATTATGTTAACAAACTGTCGCGCAAAGAAAGGAAATACCATAAGCGATTTTGTAAACCGAATCGAGTCCTATTAGGCATGGGACGGATTTTTCGAGCTCTTCTACATTGATATAGTATTCGTACGACGATGGTTAAAGTCGAGCGATTAGTTTTAACGCGTTACTTTTATGGAATCGGACTTTATCGAGCCGATCACAAGACATCGAGAATTTGCTCTGTGGTATGTGAAGAGACGCGATTACCTTGCGCGCGCGCGTGCTCGCTCGCTCGCTCAAGTATGCGCTCGAGAAGAAAACGCGAGAATGCAAGACTTTCCGTCCCTTTCCCGTGTCATTTAGACCTCGCGGCTGCGAGCCCGTTCCTATCGCGCGTACATGCTTCCAAATCAGCCGGATAATATTCCGCGGTAATTTGCCTGCATTACGCGAATTGTAATCACGTTTCGTTTCGCGTTTCTGCACCGCAGAAAGGTGGAAAATGTTTTCAAGGGTGGAAGAGGCAGGACGGAGGCCGTAATAGATCTAGCCTAAATGACTTCATTATTCATTCCGATATCGCATGCCTATCCTCGAATGCCGATTCGTTGATGAGGTGTGGTATTAGATCGGTATCTGTTTTTTTATCTTAACTGTTCACCGATCGGCTAGTTGCTAGTTCGTTCGGAGATTCATTAGTCTTGTTTTCATTTTTCCGGTATGTAATTCTTGATATCCACGATATTCTTTATCCAAGCTTTTTTTTAATCTTTTTTCGGAGTAAAAGTTTTCGAATGGGCTGGAACATCAATCGTCTCGCGGTAGAATTCCATCTTGAGCGAGTGGAGTGGAGAAGAAGGTATCGGAAGGTTGAATGCCGTTTCCGTCAAGTACGGTCAAGGACGGTGGTTACTTCAGCGCATTCCCCGGTTAAATTTTTCTCCCAGGGCGTGTCCGCATCCATAAGCAATTATACTCGTCGCGGTATCGTTAAATAACTCAGCCTCGTAACGGACTCTTTTTCAACTTTTCTTGTACCCGCGGCTTGTACTTCGACCGCGACACGTAATCGAATCCCAGATGGAGGCTGCGTCCCGGTTTTTTGTATTTCCTCCTTTTTTCTGTGGATCCACGACAGCGACACTCCCGGAAATTTGCATAATTCAGTGCCCTTTAGGCGGCGACGTCTCGCGATAAGAATTACCATTTTCGTCGGTACGATTCAGTGAAACGGACGCCAATGGAATCCCTGGCTGGCTATCTACGATCGTGATAAACGATCGTTAACGGCATGTAAATTGTAGATTGAATATTTCACTTTCTACTTTTCGTGATGCCCGCACCTCTTGTTCGAGGTAAACAATATTCCACGATTTTTACTGCGTACCGACTGCAATTGTTATATCCCTACCGATGAATATCAGAAGTCGGCGCATCTTGTTTTCCTACAAATTACCTGGCCTAGTAGTGAATTCTCGATATAGCCGATGGAGCGTCGGTGTATCTTTCTGGTTGCTAAATATAGATCCGATTCGGGTTTGAATGAAAACCGATAGAAATCTAGAATTCAGAGCGTCGCCGAGGAACGATCGGCTCGCAGTCTTGAAATGCATTGGTAACTCCGATCCGGGGGCATATGTATAAACGAAACCCACTCACCTTCCTTCCTTTTCCCTTCCCTTCCCTTGCCGTTAGGTCGCTGTTACGACACATTCGCGCCGCGGTTACGACCGCGAGTCCGAGGGCCGAGAATGAATTGCTCCATCGTTCCCCGTCTACTCTAAACCGAGGCTATAATCAGCTTGAATCGTCGATATCGGATCACCTTGCGCGCCTTGCGAAGCGTATTCATCGCTCGTGGAAAACAATCGCACGCGAAGCATTGTTTCACGTCGAGTGGAGTCTTTAACGAAGACAGAGGCCTCGGTTATTTAGTTAGACACCATTTGTCGATTGTTTCAGCGAGGGAGAAATACGATTCTGGCACGGGAAAGGAGCTAGGAAAGAAAAAATGCGTGATGGAGCGCGAGGTTCGCGTTCTCGAGGAGACCCGACGTATGTTCCCAGGTTCCCACCGTCGATGATACAACCCATTTTTATCGAATCAGTTATCTTGCTACGTTACGCAATGCCATTAACCGTTCGCAATGTAGTTCTACGACCCAAATCCACCGACACGTAAAATGATATACATTTGAAATGAAATTGGGCCGTTAAACAGACGCCCTCGTTCTCGGCCTATCCGCGTTTCAATGCTCGTATTTCTTCTTTAACGCTTCTCGCGCGTTGACAGTAGAGTTACTTCGATCGTTCAATAAAAATCATTCGGTTGCAGAAATAGAATTCTCTATTTAGGTACTTTTGCTCTATTGTCCTGCAAGTTTAAATTGATTTCATGATTCTCCAGATTTCATCGAATATAGAGACTGGACAACTCATATTTTTATTTGGATT